CATGTTTCTTTTATATTTTAAAGAATAAAACGGAAAAGGTAAAATTGAGTTCTTCAAAAAAACTAGGCAGTTTATCTGCTTTCAATTTAAGTTGAAGACTTAAATGAAAAGCAGACACCTGCTTTAAAAAAATCTAAGTGTTACATAAATCCCCAAAGCTCCAGCTTCAAAACATCACGTTTCCATAAAATGATCACCGAGATAAACAGGCCAGATAATCACATTTTCCCTAAAATGCAAGCTTCAAAGGGCTGGGTCTTTCACACCACACTTCCATACAAAAGTTTAAGAAATAATGTGATCAATGCCATCATCAGCTTCAGACTTTTAATGCAAAACATGTCAAAAAACATACTATCTGAGCCCATATACTTCTTCTCAAACTAAAATTTCAAAGGTGACTGCTTCAAACTTAATTTTAGTCAAAGAAAATGTAATCGGTGACATGACAAAAGCATACTTTTCTTAAATAACTAGGCTCAGTATGCCAGACAGCCAAAAGGAAACTTGAAAGATAATCTACTTCAACTTCAAGACTCCCATAAAATCTTACAATTAGAGATTTTAGAGAACCTCAAATCCAGGATTATGGTATAATGAATGAACAACAGAAAATCTGGGTTTAGTCTGGATCATCCATTAACTAGCTGGGTTTCCTAGAACTCTATGACCGTTAATGAACCAGACAATCTTTCTGGGCATTAATTTCCTCATCTGTGAGACTGGAGAATGGAGATGAATGGGATTCACGGTAAAGCTACTGCTAAAATTTCTTCAGCTTCTATGGTTTCCCCAGCACAGGGAATTGATTTGGGCATCAATGTCTACACATCAATGATCCAATAAATATAGCTACAAAAGAGAAGTGGCATGACCTTTCTGGTATACCCTGCTATAAGCCAGTATAAATAGAATCACACTTTCACACTGCGGTGTAACTGTTCACGACTGAGAGAATAGGACCTCCTTTCCTTCTCCAGTGCCTTCTACCTGGCACACAGTCAGAACTCAGTATTTACTCAAAAAAAAAAAGCAGCAGCAGAGAAAGAATACTTGTTATGTAACACGTAAGACCAACTCTTTGAATGATTGGGGTTTTTTTTCTAGTAATACAGGCACTTCTCTCTTTTACATATTCTCTTTTATATACTATGTCTATTTCATGACAGTTATAGAATTGATGTGCAAAACGCTTAAAAGGCTATAGATCCTCAAATGTGGACAGAACTTGCTCTAAAATGCCTGAATGTGAAAGTCGGAATATGTTCACTTAGTTCCTAACATTTCCTAAATTTATGACCCACCTGTTAAAACTGGTTCAGTTACTGAACCACTGGGGGTGGGAATACAATACACACTTTCCTATACTCATTCTTACCAATACCAGACTACGTACAGCCACTTCTTCAGATGCAGCCAGCCCTCCCATGACCACAAAGGACAAAATGGGACAAAGATGTGGTTCACTTGTAAACGGTAACAGAAAACTTTTGAAAACAATTAACATTAGAGTCTGGTTTGTCAGTTTTCTCTGCTAGGTGCTTAAGCTGCAGGATGGCTCTTCTCATTTAGAAACTTGGGAAAGTGTGGCCAGAGCCGCCTGATACAGTTCATCTACCCTTCTGCCTGTTTAAGTAAACCGACTGTCATTTGAGGGCAAGTGACAAAGGAACACAAACTTGACTTCTGCCAAGGGTGAATTAATATTGCTTTTAAATTGAAACTGTGTGTACCTTTTTTCCCTTTACGGTACAAATATTAGGTTTCAGAATGTAAATGTATGCAGTGATTTTAACTGAACTGCTTTCACCATTTAAATGTACGCAAATCAAATGTACTTTGATTCACGAATCAAATATTTACTAAACATATATTAAGGGACAGACCCACTCTAGGAGTTGGAATAGGAATGAACACAAGGGAGTAACACAGGAAGGCAATACACGTGAAAATAAATAAGGTAACTTCAGACAGTGACAAGTGCTATTTTATAAAGATGGTTCTTTTAAGTATGACTATAGTTATCCGATTTACTTTTTTGATATACATAACTACACTACATGTAGACCTCAGGAAACAGGATCTAAATTATTTCAAAAAGAAAAGTTTACAGGTCACATTCAATACACATGTGTATTGCAGTTTCAATATCCTAAATATGAGTCAAAAGAATTATAAAAAGAACCCAAGAACCACTGAAATATGAGATGAAACAGATTTAAAACATCTGTTCTCTCTTTGCTGGGTAAGCACAGGGAGGAGAAAGGTGAATATCCAATAGATTTTTTTTTAAAGATAAGACAAAGAGGAAAAACAGAGACGCTCGCCCAGTATTCTACCGTATTCTGCGATACTTTAAAGGCAACTATAACGCACGTTAAGAAAGTTAATTAAGGCAAAAATATTTAAAGTAATCTCCAAGAACATTTCAATCACTCCTCCCTCCACACACACCCCTGCAGCCCTCACAGAATATTCTCTTTTTCAGTTGCTCTTAAAAGCTGCTGGTTTGGCAGGAACTTATTTTCTCTGACTTTGGCTCCTTTCCAAATGCCCCAAAATATGCACGGCAAAGGTAAATCGTTTCTCTTACTCCCATCAATTCCAAGGAAAGCAAAGAGTCTTTCCATAGAGCCCCCATCTTGGCTGCGCCGTGCAGCTGAGGGATCAGCCGGGAAGGGGCTCCCCGGCGTGACCAACCCGAGGCCGCGGACCCCGCTCCGCCCGGCCCCTCCAGGCCCACCGAGCGCGGCCTCCGCCCCGCGCCCAGAGGAGCAACGGCACGGAGGATGGAGGAGACGCGCGGCGCATCTGGGGAGCCCGCCCCGCAGCGCCCGCCGCCCGGGCCCCACCCCCAGAGCCGGCCCCGGAGCGCCTCTGACCTCTCCGGGCCCCGGGGCTGCTGCTGCCGCCGCTGGTGGAGCTGCTCAGGCTGCTGGAGCCGCCGCTGCTGCTGCTGCTGCTGTTGCCGCCGCCGCCCTTGGCATTCTTGCGCGGGGCCATGGCGCGCACCGCTGCAGCAGGCGAGGGGTGGGGGGCTCCCTCGGTGCGCGGGGGCCGCGGGGGGCGCTGATGGCGGCGGGCGCTGCAGCGGGTGCGAGTCGCGGCTCCTGCAGCAGCGCCTGCGTCTCGGCACCGCCCGCAGCGCCTCTGAGGATTTTCGCCCGCGTGCCTCCTGCGCGCGCCCGGCCCTCGCGTGTGCCCAACTGGTGACTACCCTCCCGGCGCGAGAGCGCGCCGCTCTCCTGCCCCTCGGCCACGCCCCTTCCCGGCTGAGCCCCGCCCCTGCCCTCCCGTGGAAAGCTAAGTGACGGAGCATGGAGCCAATCACAATGGCTCCTGTGATGGGGCGGAACACTGCCGCGCTTCCCCGCCCCCTGCAGACTCAGGGCCGTTCTGGCGCGACGCAGCCGTCCGGGAGCGCGAGCCGCTTTCGACTTTCCAGTCTGTCCCGGTCCTTTGGAACGTGGCAAACGTGGAAGGCGAGCGGGCTCTCGCGAGCGTTGGCTGACCCCGTATAATCGGGATGGGGCGGGGCGCGGGGGCGGGGTCGGCGACACGTGTGCAGCGTCCAGTCGGAGCCCACTGCCTCTTGGCCTTTCACCGAAATTTTGTTCCTCTCCGGGTTTCCTGTACACAGACATCAAGAGATGCAATCCCCCTTCTTGCGAAAGAAATGTGTTTCTTGTCAGTATTGAGACATTTCTGAAATGGTGATGGTAGCAGAAATTAAATGGTTAAGCCACACGTAATTGATCCGTTCGGTTTTACAGCAGGAGTTCATTCGTGCCATCAGCAAGTTCGGACGATCTTAAGACAGACGTAAATGTAAAACAAAAAGTTCATTTTCTTGCCCTGCATGGCACCATGTATCTGAAATCTCTCTTCGCTGGGCTGAAGCCTACGTTTATCTTCCTATGTTGTCCCCAACTGTGGTCCCCGTGCAGCCACAGATTGCCTGGGCTCCGGCTCCCTCTGAATTGCGCGTGTGATCTTAAAAATATCTGGGTCCCTGGGTGAGCCAGACGGGGACTTGAGGCAGGGATGTCATCATCATCTTTGGGTCGCCAATGGCTTGCGCAATGCTTGGTGTGTAACAGACAAGCCAGATATGTTGGGTGATTTGCTACATTTCTGGTTAAATTCTTAACGCTGTCACCAATTCTTGACCGTGTTTCAGAGGAACCAGAGACACGGTTGCAGTGTGGCATCTGCTTTTATTCCTCTTCTCCAGCCAGCCACCCCGCATTGGCGGGTCCCTGGACTCACTCGCTTCTTCTACTGCGAATAGCCCCCCGCAATTGTCCACTTTCTAGTAGTGATACACAGAAATCCACAGAGAGCCGTGTTGCGTAAAGAGGGGAAGGCCTCTCTTTTTTGTGAAACAGTGGTAGATAGTTATCAAGATAGAGCAGGGGCAGGGAATCTCACAGTTTTTACTGAAGCAACTCTTTGGGGGTTTATCTAATAGTATCTCCTGCCTTCACACATCCTGTCTCCCGTAGGCCCCCTTAGGCGTGGAAAGCTGGGCCAAGAGACTAAGCGATAGAACTTAATTTAAACTAATGAAAGTAAGCTGAGAAAACAGCTGATGATATTTGAACTCTTAAATTCCGACAAAACTCTGTTATTGTGTCCATTTTTAAAGGATGAGGTAACTCAGGTCCAGAGAGGTTAAATAAAGTAAGGAGGTCCACAGAGCCAGTAAGTGATGGAGCAGGGATATGAACTCCGTCCAACTGGCTCCAGAGCCCGTGGTTCAAACTCTCCTTCTAGGACAAGGCTTCGTTTTAAGCAAAGAATGTCTCACTGATTTCTTCTTTTACCGAACGTCTCCCCAAAGCCTGCTTGGTCCTACCTGCAAAGATGGGTCTGAAACCTGATAGTGGGTACTTATCCAGATTCACCTCTTTGAGGAACTCAAGTTTCTTTGATAACTGACTCCACAATGTCATGAAACGATGTTTTGCTCCTGCATTTCCAGAAACCAAATCTGGTACCATTGACAAGGTACATTGCTGTGCATCGTAGGCAGTACCAAGCCAAGACAGTGACTTTATAAATACATATCACAGGACGTTAGAGGTTTCCTGACTTCCTCTTTCAAATACAAGGTAACAGCTACAATGACATTTATACACTCAGTATTACAAAATAAAACTTACAACAAGGTTCATAACATTAGATATTTTCAGCTATATACAGTTTAGTTTCAGGGACTAAATTCCTGCACGCTAAGTACCAATATTATACAATTTGCATCTGTTTATACTTCCCTCCTTATGAGCATTAAAAAACACAAAGTTTGTACCTTGAAACTGTGAATTTCTTTACATAGGTCTTTTTCTCGGCATTGGGTCAAAGGAAGTTAGGGTATCTTTGAAATTAAACATTTCTGTGATTTCTGAGTAAGCTATGAATGAACCCTGGGTGAAGCAATGTTAGAAGGACCATAAAGACAAGACCTAACTAGGACAATGTATTAAAATATTAATTTAATAGAGCTTTTGAACTAGGCCAAATGTGCCTTTCAGATATTTCCACAAACTTTCCGTTGTCTTCACCACTGGGATTTACAAGTCAGAACTTGAGGACAAGACTTGTCCTAGTTGTTTTTTTTCCCTTGTGTTGATCCTTCACAACCTCCAGTTAAATGCTTTCCAAATTAAGTATTTCTGGACTTACATATAGCTACTAAAACACTGTTTCTTAAGTTGCATTTTTTACCTGCTTCCTAGACAATGGCTCTCATTTTTATGCAGTCTTCCTAATGTGAAATTTTATAGGTGCAAACTAAAAATGAACATTTCCCTGTCTTTATTTATCATGGTAAACTCTGCCACAGTAGAAAAAATGAATTTTGACTTATCATGATGATTCGGTTGTGTGTTTTCATTTTACACTAATAGAATTTGTTGCAGTGGAAGGCTATGTTGGTAAACCCAAGAACATTTTAAAGACATTCTGTGCTCAAAGTGTTCTCAAAGCAATTATTCCCGTATGAGTTATATTTCAACAAGTAAATAAGCTGTCATTTTCATCAAACAGCTTGACTTTGTACTACCGTAGAAAAAATAAGCCTGGCTAACATCTATGTTATAAATACATAGAATGACTTTATAAAGAAGAAGTAATTTAAAATCTAGTCAAAAATAGATAAGAATCTGAAATACTGTTATGATATAGAAAAATAATCTGAAAACATATTAGCTAAGAAACCGATAGTTCTTTTTTTCATTTCAATTCTTTACATTTTCTATCAGGATTGGTGGTACTTAGTACCAAATTCTCTCCCTAATAAATAGCATTTAAGTAATAGCTATTTCTAATAGCTTTATGTTTTATTTATTATTATATTATTTAGTTATTTTACTTTGGTGGGGGAAGTAATTAAGTTCATTTATCTTTTTTGGAGGAGGTACTGGGGATTGAACCTAGGACCTCCTGCATGTTAAGCATGTGCTCTACCACTTGAGCTTACTCTCCCCCCATGAAGTAATAGCTATTTCTAAGTCTGAAGTTTCCTAGTCTAGGGAACTCACAGAATTAATCGATTCTTCTTACATGTCAAACTTAGTGCCAGAAAGAAACTTAAGCATGGAGAAAAGTCAAAGAATTGGAGAAGAACTACTGCTTATATGCCTGGCAGTTCTATGCTATATAAAAGGGAATACTAATGTGATTTAGGAGTCTTTAGAAAGTATTAGAGAAATCAAGAAAAGAAAGAAAAAGTGGAGGAATCTCAAGGATTCAGTTTATTTGCAAGGTAGTTTTACTTAAACTATATTTGCCTTAAGAATCTAATAGCTCTGTGTGTGTGTGTGTGTGTGCGCGCACGCACGCATGCGCGCCCGCACGCATGCGCGCCCGCTTCTGTAATTAATATAGTAATTTCTGTGTCTTTCATGAAAACGATTCTCTTCCAGTGGAAACAGGTCCCTTGTCCAAAGAAAAGTATCTTGAAACCAGTTTCTAGGATTCTCCAATTTCATCAAGTCTAGATACATAAAGCAGATGTTTTTGCCTTACAATAAATAGTTTAATTGCAATATGCAACTTGAATCAATTAGTCAACTTCTTGACAGTTAATGGGAAATCATGCATACCCCACATAAAGTTAGTATTGGCTCAGCGCTTTTTATATGGTCATCATGCTGACTTGAATCTATTCTGCAGTTTCATAAGCACATGATAAACATTACTGAGCCTGTACCAAAAAAATAAATACAAAGGGACTTTTCCAAAGAACTTGCTAGCATGGAAAACAGGGAGTGTCTCTTTGTATCATTGCAGCAAGATTTTATTAACCTAAAGACCAATTCTATAGTATTTCTTTATTTTAAGAAGTATGATATCCATTCATTTTAAAAATTGTTAATGGTTTAACATATGTTGTGGCTCTACGCTAACAGTCCTGAATATTTTCTAATCCTTTGTGGAACCACTACAATGCTGACTTCACTCGATGAACTCATTTCTCTGTTGGCAAATTCCTTTGAGTTAGAGACAGAGACACCAATATGCTAGACGTGCACTGAAGCTACTCCTCCCAGCACCAGAAAGCATATTAGTCTAGCAGAACTTAGTGGAAATCATTTCCAAGAGGCTGTCTCATGTATTATGTGATTTTATTTTCTCTACTTCTTTATGACATCTGTATTGCTCTTAGTTTTTCTAGCTCCAACATATAAGAAGAAATGAGGGAGGCAGCTACCGAAAGGTATCCTTAGAGAAGCAATTGTGTAAAAGCCTAAGCACAGATGTTTTGACCACTTAGGCAAATTCCAAGAGATTTTTAAAATTCTCTTTCTCAAATTTGAGAAAATTGAAATCAGATGTGAAAAGCTTGATATAGGGCTCAGGCTTGTGCAAAAATAAAGTCACAAACAATATTTAGGAAACCACAGCCATCCTCACCTATGTATTCATGGTGGCCTGGGCAGTGTCCAGTGCAGAGCAGGTGTTATATAAACATTGCACCTCAGGCCCTTTGCACTTGCCATGCCTCTGCCCAGAGAATGCTTTTGCCACACAGATCAGAGGGCTACAAAACTCTTCACCTGTCACCCCCTCGGTTTAGCCCCCAAGCCCTACCTTACCTCCTGTACTCTCAAGCTGAAATGTCCTTGGTGAGCACTCCACACGTGGGTATTAAATGGTTAGCCTTTAAAACACTGCGAAGCGGCAGGCAGGGGCTTGTATTTTACAGTAATGCAAAACAAGAAATGTGAAATTAACATCTTTTTGACAAAGG